GTGGATTTTTTTGTTTGTGTGTTTTATAAAAAAAGCTAAAGTGGATAAAGAGAAATACTTTTAACTGATGGTATATGGAGGGGATTATAACCAATGTAATGAAACAAGTTATATGAAGTGTTGAATGTGAAACTGATGATGTGCCCTGTAAACTTTCACTCAATCCACAATAAAAACCTTAAATTAAAAAAAAAAAAAACTCAAGATCTTAAAAACACACCAGGCTTACTAGTCAGATAATGACTAGTAAGTGGAACCCCAAGACTATGGCCCTTGGTAACCGTTCAGCTCTGGAACTGAACTCACCCCTGTGTCTCAATTTTTAGTCAAGCAATACACAGGTATTTAGTAGGGAGACAATGATACTAATGAGTTACATGACCATAGAAAGACCAATCATTCAAGATCAAAGGACAGCATTTACCTAAGGACAAAATTCAGAAGGGTGAGGAAAGAAGAAAGAATGGAAACAAGAAACACAAGGAGGAAGTGGGATAAGTGATGGTATATTGAGGGCACTACAATCGAGATGAAATGAAGTATATGATATGTTGAATGCAAAACTGATGATCTACTCTGTAAACATTCAATTCACAATAAAATGTTTGAAAAATAAAAACCATAGTGAAGACAAGGCAAATATAATTCTCAGAAAACTGAAGAATATAGGGGCTGAGTAACTAGCAGTATTTCCACACATTGGCTGTCCCATCAGCTGCAGCAGAAAAAATCCGGATATGGTCTGGGTTCAAAGCTAGGTGCAGCACTCTGTTTCTGTGGCCTGTAGGAAGAAAGATACAGTTCACACTCATCATTATAGCTTAGGGCAGGGAAGCAATGTAATGGGGACCACAAACCCCTTCCAGAACAAAGGTCAGCCCACTGTCTGCCACAGTCAGACGTGGTGCTGCTACCGGGTCTTTGCTGAGGTAAACACCCATCGAGGCTAATTTTGCACAGCATTCTAAGGTGGCTAAGGTTTTGCATCAGCATTTCTTTTTTTAATACAAGTTTCCTGTGGCTGCCATACAAAGTAGAACAACTGCGTGACTTGAAACAACAGAAGTGTTTTCTCTCACAGTTCTGGCAATCCAAAATCAAAATGTCAGCCAGGCAGCACTCCTACTGAAGGCTCAAGGGAAGAATTTATTTCTTGCCTTTTCTAGCTTCTGGCAGCTGTTGACATTCTTTGACCTGTGGCCTTGTGATTTAACTCCAATCTCTGCCTCTGTGGTAACATCATCTCCTCCTCTGTATGTCTCTTAAAATGGAGCTCAATGGATTTAGGGCCCACCCAGATAAACCACAATGATCCCATCTCAAGACCCTTTAACTACATCTGCAAAGATCCTTTTCCCAAATAAGGTAACATTCAGGCTCCAGAGATTTGAGATAGATATCTTTGAGGGAGTCCTGGTATGGCATTGCAGGTTAACATGCTGGACTGAAAGGTTGGTTTGAACCTCAGGTCGGCAGTTCAAGCTCATCGGCTGCTCCTCGGAAAGCCTATACAGGGTCAATATGAGTTGGAACTAACTCAGTGGAACTTAACAACAGCAGTCTTTGAGGAAGTGGGGTTATTTGGGGCTTCTCACATCCTTTATGCCCCCTATCATTATTTGTTCCCTAATCTATGGTTCAAACCTACCAGCATCTCCTTGAAAACCCTTTATAGGGTCATCATGAGTCAGAGCAACTCAACAGTACTTAACAACAATAATCTACCATCACCCAAGAATTGTCTTTACTGTGCTTCTGCCATTCGCCTTATCCCTTTTCTGATCCTCTTCCAAAATTAACTAACCATCCTGACTCTCTCATGGACCCAGGCTCTAAAAAACTAATCAAATAAACTGATGTCTTAGTGAGAAAGTAACCACAAGCTTACCCACAAAGCATACATGTTTCTTGCTTATTAAGTTCTGGAAGTGATCTCCCTCCTTTCTCATTTCTAGTCCATCATTTCCCAAAGAACATTCTGTGGCACAATAGTGAATAGTTCTATATGAGGCTAATATTGGTGTTTGTTATTAAATGCTGTTGAGTCACTTCCAACTCATAGCAACCCAGGTTTCTGAATAATGACTAGTGAGTTTGAATCAAAGATCTCATGGTTCAAACTGACTTTGTGATCCTGTGCTTATCCTTGTTGTTGTTGTTGTT